TTGTAGTCATTACTTTTCAGACATGATAAAAATAATGGAGGTTGAAATGAATCGTTGATTGTGTTTAGTTATTTTAGGCAAGATAGGGGACCAACAAGGAAGGTCCAACTTTTAAAGTACACAGTCATTGTTCAGAAGTAGCTGGCAGTTGAGCTGAGTAAATATTGTTAAGTAGTCTGGTAGACAATTAGGTTTCCTTGCTGTATTCGAGGTGTTTGCACTGTAGTATGTTGTATCTCTGGGTTTAATCTCCTTTCCTCTTTGTGTGTCAGGTGCACTACTGTATACTAGTTTAACCAGTTCTGCTGGCCCAGTGTTACCCCATGCTCTGCATGTGTTTGTGTTTAAATTTTCTTTTTTCTTTTCTTGGTGACACTTTCTTCATATCATGATTACACTACTGTAGTTGTGGGTGGCCACAACTTCTGTGTCACAGTGGGGGTGTAACTTGACCCCTCCCATCTTATAGCAACCTTTTATCATAAGCCATTCTTCACTTCTGTTCAAGCAAGTGTATATGCTTGCTAGTCTACATTTGATCAAATACTAATGTTTGTGAGGAATAATGGAGCCTGTTGTTAGTGCATGTAGTTTGCTCTGTTATCCTTATTATGAAGTCATGTGCTTCCCATCAGCTAGTATGTAACAGGCTTTGTTTGGACTCCAGCAGGACTGAATGGCAGGCTTTTCTACACACCAGTGTCAGTGCTCACATTACACTAACATTTACTTTAGCCTAGAACTTAAAGCTTGGAGGGCTAAGGCTATTTGGCATTCGACTTAATATACCCATGCAACTTACAGTATTACTTATATTCAAAAAGTACTTCTCTGAACACCCTGTGTTGTTATCCGCTTCTTAAGCAATGTTGAATCAAGTTATTGTAATGCTCTTTAATGAGGAAACATCAGAAGTAACTGGTGAAATTCTTGACTCTTTATGTCACTGAAAATGACTTGCAGTAGATCAGAATTGCCCTAGATCCTTAAGTTGCAGGCAACATACAGTTCAAGCTAGTACACCTTTATACATACATATAACTGGTTTATATTTATTTTTTTCTTAAATTGGTAATTAAGGGTCCCCTGACATTTTACCAGGTACAGAAAATATTGCAGAAAAACTTGGTGTATAAATGAAATTCTTTTTAGTGTGTTGTGAATCGGATTAACTAAATCTTATTAACCAAAAAAGATCTCAAGCTATCGTATAATTTATCTCACACTTAAGTATTTTCTATTCAATCACAACAGGAGAGCAGAACTTACAGACAGGTGGAGAAAGTTTGGATGATAGCACAGCTATGGATGATGAGGATATAAGCCCACCACCTCAAGGACGTCGTAACCGCAGGGAAGCATGTACCTGCCCCTTCTGCAAGGATGGAGAAGGACGGTATGTCACTGATGCACGTTTTTTAGACACCTGCAATCACACTCTAATGCAATCCAATACAACTGCTCCAGCATAAATACCAGTTTTATGACACTTATAAATCAAGTTAAGCTGGCAAGTTTTTGTTGACACTGTCAAAAGGTATTAATTGAATTATATGTTTTAACATTGAGGGTCATAGTTATAGTCATGTGTTGTACTGGACTGCATTATATTAAAAAGTGTTTCTAATATTCTGCCCCCCTTGTGTATGTAAACATGAGGGACAACACAGTAGAAACAACTTTTACTAAAATGTCCTGTACAACACCACCTTTAATTATGACGTCAATAATAAACAATTAAAAAAAGTAATATAAACTAATGATGAAATACTTTGTAAAGATAGATGTGTTTTCAGAAATTACCTATTTAATTATTTCTAACTCATTGTTAGATGTCAGTGTGTAAGATGACTAATAATAAACTGTGATTGTTAATACTTAAAGGGAAAACTACAATTTATTAGAACTGTTAATGAGATCAAAAATAAGTCAAGTTGTAACAAACTATATTATAGTTTCACATAGAAACTGCATTTTCCATTGATTTTATGTGGTCTCCTCACAGAGAACCTAGTAATTGTCTTTTTTTGTCTGTTTGTTTTAATTGAGCAGTGATCCAAATAAAAAGAAGCAGCACATATGTCACATCTCTGGCTGTGGGAAGATCTACGGCAAGACATCCCACCTGAGGGCCCACCTCCGCTGGCATACAGGAGAACGACCCTTCGTCTGCGGCTGGTCTTTCTGTGGCAAACGATTTACCCGTTCAGATGAGCTTCAGCGCCATAAGAGGACGCACACAGGTGACATTGAGGATTTATTTTAGTTTATTTCACAATTGACATTGACAAAACATCAAAGATGAAGAGACAATTAAGTCTGGAGACTCCTTTGTGGTCCTTGATGTAAGAATAGTAAAGAACAAGCCTATGTGCATCCGTAAACATCTGTTTCTTGGCAACATAGCTTTCAAAGGAATGAATTTTTTGCAACAGGATTAATTAAAGCTGAAACAAGTAACGGTTTGATCGACCGAAAATTAGAAACTACCCTGATAACTGATTTATTGTTTAGGTCTGATTTTAAATCACAAATTTAATTTTATTGGTTCCAGTCTCAAATGTGAATATCTGATTCTCTGATGTTTTGTTTTTGGCTTCTACAATATTAAAGGAAACCTCTTTTGGGCAAATCTAGCAATTTGGGGCTTTGAGAAATTGTGCTTTTTTTGTAGTATTACCTCACATTTTATGGGTCAAATGATAAATCTAGATAATAATTGACAGATTATTGATAACTAACATAATTATAATGTAATTATCTTAATATGTTGCATATCCTCAACCCCAAAATATATTTTTAAAAATGTGTTATTATTATTATCATTAGTATTAACTGGTCATACCAGCTGCAGCTATTTTTGTATTTATTTTTATTTCCCCTTCCATATTCAGGTGAGAAAAGGTTTGTTTGCCCAGAGTGTCCCAAACGCTTCATGCGCAGCGATCACCTCTCCAAGCACATCAAAACCCATCTGAACAAGAAAGTAGTAGCCACCAACACCGGCAGCACCACAGGCTCGACTGATGCTGCTTCCCCTGCAGCAGGAACAAAAGTCGAAACAGGAGCAGTGTCATCCAGTGACCAGCACACCATCGTCACCATGGAAACCTTATCTGCAGAGAGCATAGCTCGATTAGCCAGCAGTGGGATCAACATGATGCAGGTGGACCTTCACCAAATTAACGGCAACAACTACTAAGGACAGTGGAGGAGCAGGAAGACACCATGGTGGATGTTGCATTCGGACATTTGGGGTTAAAAAGGGCACGTCTGACTGCAGACACAGAACCTCTCAAAGGCTTCAGACAGGAGAGGTTGTCACAGATGCAACACAACAGACTATTGAATTTGAGAACTGAGGCAGGAATATGGATTTCCGTCTTGTATTTAAATACCTGTGGGATTTAAGGGTCAGAGTTGGATTAAAATGTAAGACTAGAGAAATCATCATGAAATCTTATTTCCCCTGAATGGAAATGGCACTACACTAACATTTCTCCCACACGAAGGCCCGATCTTACTTGATGGTGAGATTGCAATAAAACACACAGACCAGCACACTTGATGTAGAATTGGTGGCAAGTGATCTCTACATGCTTCTTTTAGTAAAGAGATGACACTACTAAGTCAGATTCACCCTTGTTTCCAAGGCTGTGAGCTTTGCTACTTGTCCCTCTTCACTTCAGGTGTCTCCTGTCCTCTCAAACTGGGCTGCTGTATCAGGCCAGGCATCCGCAGGCCAGGCTAACTGGCCCATATTGGCCCATAATGCTAAATTCATCCCTAAAACTGAAATTATAATCCCGATCAGCAAATATTTGGTTCCCACATTTCTGCGGTTGCAGTTTTGCGAGAACCTAACATGTTCCCAGCCTAACGATCCCGGTGTCATAGGAATAATAGTAAAGCGTTTTAGGGTGGACCGTTAAGACGAGGGCTGGAATACATGAGGTCACAACCAGGTCAGAGCCAAAAGCACTAATCAGTGTGAGGACGTAGGTGTGTCAGGGCACTGAAATCCTGAGAATAACTCTTTAACCTCTTATGTAGGTACACACATTCAAGCCATCATGCTTTGATATGTTTATCATAGCAAAAACATTTTGATTTTTTTTTTTTTTGTGTATATATAATTTTGGTAAAGGCTAAAGAAATTCTTATCGTAGGCAGGATTATTTTACACGTTTGCAAGAGATTGCCTTTCAGTTGTATGAATCTCTCATGCACAATCAATCTTAATCTTATGTTATTACTTTTATATATATATATATATATATATGTAGATTAAATGTGTAAACTTACAAACCTTTTGGTCATAGAATAATGTATTCTATACGGTCAAGATCTTCCCAGTATGTTTCTTCTGTGGTATACTTATCAACTTTGCCTTGCAGTTCCATCAAGTTTGTTTCCAGTCTGAGGAAAGGTGTTTCTTTAGTCATATCTGGTCAGAGTCAAGTGTTTTGTAATAATGTCCAGACAGCATAAATATGTAAGCTCAAAACCAAAGGTTCATACTCATTTTATGAGCAAAACTAGGAAATCTTTCTTTGGTCCATGAACTTTCTAATAATTTTTACTCTTGTAATACATGTTAAAATTCTAACTGGAAAAGATCCAGCTAAAGGCAAACCTCGGACACACATCCCTTTGTTGTCCAAATAAATAAGTTGCATAAATATTAAGGGTCAAAGTTTTTCTGAAAAGATGCCTCACCTTTGTTCAAATTTTCTTTGCTTTAGAGTTCTGTTTTATTTGAGAGATAATTGTAACTTGTATGTCAGAAAATGTGTTTAAAAGCGCTCCTTTGAAACTCTATAGACTAAGTTCATTGGACAACAAGTGCTCTTATTTTTTTGCCCCATTTTAAATAAGGGATTTTATATTGTGTGTGTGTGTATACAACTACTGCAAATGCCAACAGCTGGATTAAAATTATAAATATACCATGTCTCGTTTCTTTGCAAACATCTAAAAACAATATTGCAGACCAACTGTTAAAAACAATCCTTTATTCATTAAAGATCACAGGTTGTGTATGTTTTTACTATGAATAAAACAGACCCAAAACTTACACAGAAAACAATAGTTTGAACAATTGCTCCCCCTAGTGTTGATATCACATCTCTACATCGTTGTCCTCACTCTTCAGTTTGTTACGCAGGCTGTAAGGAGAAGAATGACACATTGTACATGTTTGTCAGTTCCAACACTTAGTGTCACTCATTAGGATAAGCAGCATAATAACCAGGTGTCTAATATGACAATCCCCCAGACTGAACGACTTGTGTTTCTGCAAGCACCCCACCTAGGGCCACATTGTTGGACCTGGTGGGGCTCCATGTAAATATACACAGCAGTATTTTCCGTGGTAAAAAGGTGATGTCAATTATATGTTGCTAATACATTAATCAGCAACTTGAAAACGCCAGACATTATCAAATAAAACCTTATGCGTCGTTCCCCACCTGCTGAGGTAGGAGTGGACGTCAGAGAAGCCGTGGTATTGAGCCAGGGGGAACAGGATGCCAGTGGGGCAGCGACCATCACGCTGGCGGCAGAAGCTGCAGTTGCAAATGCCGCGACAGGGAGGACACTTCCACTCCTGAGGAGATCACCAAATGGTTAAAACACTAAACTTACTGGTGTCAGACAAAGTACACATGTAAAATAATAAAAACAAACAAACAGTATTTAACTTCATAGAAGAAGTGCAACTACTTTGACCTGCAGGGCTGCTAACAAATAACAAACAGTTATTAATCTACTGACGTGAATACATTAAGTCACAAGATCCATTAGATCCGACCTTCTAAGTCAAATTTCAATGTGCATGAAAACAAAACGTTTGCTGCAGCCTTGGACTTGATTTTAAAGCTACGCACAAGGGACTGATAAAAGCCAGATTAAACCCTGCCCTTAAATCCATCCATCCATGGAAGCCTGAACACTCACTGACAGATAATACTGAAAAAATGTGTGTGAAATTAATCTTTTGTACATCTACACAAGTGCAGAGTGTATGTTGGTGTATCAGCCGTCTAACCGGATCACGCAGCGCCTTCTTGACATCCTCTCCATATCTGTTCCTCAGGCACGGCCCACAGAACTGACCCTGAATCCCTCGACAGTCCTCACTGCGGCAGCACGTCTTAGTGTCGACAGTTTTCTGGCGGCACTGATGACATGTGGAGCCCTGGAAATATACAAAGAAACCTCAACAACAGAGATATAGTTTTATAGAGATTGAAAACAGTTTTTAGGCTTCAGTAATGGAGAGTTCGGCACCTGATATCACATCTCTGAACCAAAGTTGCCACAGCTAACAGATTTGCCAACAAACCAAGCTGATATTGGTACAAAATCTATCATGTCCATATATCTCACTGGAGAAGAACTACAGGTACAGTCCGGCAGAGAACTCACTGTGACTCTGTTGTAGACTTTTTCAGTCATGTTGTCTGCGACCAGCTGAATCTCATCCTCTGTGATGTCCTCCACAGGACGGATCATATGCGGTTTGCACTGGTTCGGACGTGGGGCGCCTCTGCGCTGTGGGGCTCGGCGTACCTGGAACACAAAGATGAAAATAATGAAAAAATAATAAACATTTCCCACTGGTCATTTATAAATGACAGAGCTGACCTCCAGCAGCTCCTCCTCCAAGCTGAGCTCCAGTTCTTCCTCCTTAGGGGTTTTAGGATCCTCACTTCCCACCATAGAGCGGGTCTGTCTGCGAGTCGCCCGCTCTGGGTTCTTCCTGGACTCTCCTCCAGCTGCACCAGAGCGTGGTGGACGCTGCAGGTGATGGTGGATAAAATCACCTCATTACATCAGTTTATTTATTCAGAGCTCTACCACCTTGTTAACTGAATACGCTGATTCCCATTCTGCTTACTTTAGACTTACAGTCAAATCTGGGGATCTAAATTTCTTCCCACCATTCCTCATGTGAAGTATTAACAATTGCCCTTGGGACAAAACTCACTGGTGTGTGAGATTTTTACATCATCTTCTACTCACAGAACTTCTCTCTTTTGTCTTCTGTTTGGCTTCTTGTTTTTTCAGAAACCCTGCACCTCCTGGCATCTTCTGCAGGTCCGCCATCAGCTGAGCCAACTGTTAGAAAACAATGAGGATTAAAGAGGATTATAGATTAGATGGTAAACATCCTGAGTCATTTTAGCTGGGCAAATCTGTCAGCACTTGAGACTAGAAGTATTTCTGCATTAAACCGATATTACAATTTACTTAACTTTTCAATTTCAACAGCCCTGAACCTGCACAGTGTAGGTACTCAGTGTCAAATAAACATTATAACTTTTGAAAGCAAAACAATCAGGTACGTTGTTGACAAAATTACAATAAGTCATTTCTGAGCAGAATGTTTTGCATATTGCTGTTCACATACTGAGTACAAATATAAAAGATCTATAAAAGATAATAAGATCTGCAATAGATAATAATAATAATCTCTGTGGGGTTACATGCAATGAATTTACAGTGAGTCTAAACTTTAATTTGGTTGGGAACCCTGGGTATTCTTTGGCACTAGTTTGGGAACAGCCACACAGTTTGTTGCATCAGGCTGTCAGTACTGTAAATGGTCTTGTGTCTATAGTGTACCATTGCTTTATTGGCCTTGATGTTCTGTTGCCTCTTGGCCAAGAAAGAAACAGCTGCATCATCGGCTGAATCGGATCCACGCTCCTCAGAAGGAGTCGGTGGGGCCACTGCGGACTCTTCATCTTCAAATTTAACACGTCTCATCCTCTTTGCCTGACTGGTCTTTCCTGCCTTCTCAACCCTTCTCTTTTTTGTCTTCTGTTCTTCCTCCTCTGCCTCCTCCTCCTCATCATCAGTGGACTTCTGGGTAGAGACAGCGGAGCGGAGAGCCACCCTCAGTCTGAAGGTGTGGGCACCACAAGATGGTTTTGATGTGGCTTTCTGCTCTTTGGGGGAAAGGTCAGGCTTGGCTTCATCTTCATCTTCCAAATTTGAATTCTGATGGACACAAATAGAAGTGATTTCTCTTACACTGTAGTTTTCACAGTTAAATGTAGGGCTGCACAATTAATCGCAATATTATTGAAATCACAAAATGCACTGAAGAGATCTCCAGATTTAAGAAAACATGTTTGTGTGGTATATACCCCAACAATTGTTACATCATCTTGATTTTAATCGGGTTTTTGTTTTCAGTGAAAAATGAATTTGTGATGCAAAAATGATTATTCACATACTAATCATATCTGTCAAAATAACTGTGCAGCCCTAAACCAGCCAAACCAGGTGCCTATCACACACCTCTACAACATCTAACCACAACAAGAACCACACAGAGAACAAGTGCTGAAACTGGGTCCTTTCAAAATAAAATTAAGGTCAAATCCAAGACATAAATTAATATTTATTTCTGCAATCTGATGCTGGATCTGCCGCTATGAATGCCTCAATTTAAACCAAATTACTCACCTTATGGCAATGGTCGCTGATTTCATGGTCAGAAAAGCCGTGAAATGTTCGCTCACTATCGGAGTCCTCCGCAAAAACATCCGCTAACGCTAGCTCTTTCGGGACCGTTTGCCTTCCTTGAACCCCTTCCTGAAGAGATAATAACAACAAACTTAGTTTACAAATATTAAACTCATGTGTACTGCGTGTTTACTCTGATAAAATACGAAATTTTAAGTTACTTTTACCATTTTATTCTTGATAACCGTGGACTAGCTGCTCAAGGTTAGCTAGGTCCGCCCGCGCTCAGGTACCTGTCCAATTAATGTGATTGCCTGTTTTGTGTATTCGGGCAGCACGGATGCAAAGAATTAGCCTCGGAGAATGGCGCGTTTTTAAACTCCGCCCTCAAGAGCTGAGCTGAATACCTAAACATGCAGCCTTTCAAGACACGAAAGTAGTACCAGAGTTTAATCCTAAGTGTTAAAATGTTTGTTACTGTTGGAGGTTTTCTTCGAAATAAAAAGTCTAGATAATCAAAATAAGTGAAATAAGTGTCTATTAAGAATATATATGATTTGAGTCTCAGCTAAGCAGCAAATGGGAGGTTGTATTTGTATCAGTGTGGAGGGGAAAGGCTGTTGATGAGTGGCCGAAAGGGAAAAGGGAAAAATACTCATAGTAAGTAAAAAGAGAGAAAATATTAAACATTTGGATATGGACTCTAAGTTAAAACTGAGAGAGTAAAAAAAAAAAATCTGACTTTTTAAAAATAAAAATATGAGTCTCCCATCATGTGAAATGCTGATGTAATGGTTAAGCAGGCAGGTACAATGTTTACCATGTTCTTAGTTCTTTAGTGTGTTCAACTAAGGCTGGTGGGAATGTCAGCAATTTTTGCAGGTATTTAATCATAAACCAAAAGTGATTTTATATTTTAAAATGTTGACGCTGATGAAGGTGCTAGAAGAAATGTCAGGGGGTCAAAGTCAATAGGATTCATCCTCAGGGGGACATGAATTTGTGTACATGACAATCAATCCAATGTCTGTTAAAACATTTCACTTAAAACTATAAGTTATATAATGGCACCAGAGAAAAAGTCAGGAGATGGCTTATAAAGTAAAGTGATTTTTACATAATGGAACAATTTTGACTCAGAAAGACAGATATTGACTTAATATATTGTGATTTTTAAAAAAAAATCATAACTTTAATAATTCCTCTATATGACATATAATCTACATTTGACTCACTGTGAGTGTTTTTATTATTGTCTTTCAAATATTTAAGCGTTTGTCTTCTTATCCTGACATAATTGGGCTACCTTGCTCTGACGTACTATGGTGCAATGAGGAATAAAAACAAGATCCCTGGATGTTGTTGCTGAGTTAAAGTTCCTTGTCCTATGGCCCTGGAGAATTTCTCCGAAACCTCTTCGCTTGTTTGAGTTTACCCATGGCCCTAAATAACTAAGTCAGCTGCAGAAAGCATCCCACTCGAATGCAGATCATATTCCTAAACAGTGGGAGATGATTGTGTTGACGGTATATGTTGTACACGCAGGTGTGTGGCAGTGGGAGTGATGCTGGGAAACGTGGGAAACTCCTCTCACATTCCCAGGAATGACAAATATTCACTCCCTACTTGGCTGGTCTGGACTCAGAGTGACCATGTTCCTGCAACAGTGGCGACTGATTTTGGCTTTGGGTGAGTGCATTTGCTCTTAAAAAAACCCCTCTGTTTCTTGTGTTTCTTTCTATTTTGTTTTACATTTCAATCTTAAAATGAAAGACTTAGATATGCGTGTTTTGCTTGGATAGTGACAGTAGAGAGACACAGGAAAGTCAGGGGAGAGAGAGGGGATGACTTGCAGCAAAGGGTCCAGGCCGCTGTGTTAAGAACTCAGCTTTGATATGTGGTATGCGAGCTACCGGGGTGCCCCTGATTAATGACTAATAATTTGCAGTTTGATAGCTGATAGTAATGGCTGTGTCGCTGAAGCATTGTATAATTTGATACTGAAATGGCAGTTCAGTAGGAGTATGCCTGCTGTGGCTCCTAACCTTAATAATGAAATCATTATATTGTGCATATTTTCTTTATTTTTATCTTTTTTTATATGACTTATGTATGCCTACCTCCTTTGAGTCTTGTTTTTGCCTAAAATCAATACTACATAGGTCAATAAACACATTAAGATTAAGATGGCCATGCTACCTATGCCCTGTAACTACAGTGAATGTTAAATGTTCCTGGAAAAGATTTTTCTTCTTCAGTGGATAGTATCACCTGCTTCAATAAATATCAGGTAAACAAAGATGGAACTGATCATTTGAACAGTAATTCACAGGAAACCATAGAGTCAGAAACAGTGTAACAACAGTAAGCTCATATGTGTTGTGATTTTTTAATATTTTTTTTGTTTTTTTTTTTTTTTTTTTTTTTTTTTTTTAAACCCATTTATAAATTTTTAAAAAAAAAATTTTTAATATTTTTTTTTAAGGGAAACCTTTTTTAACCTTTTAAAATTTAAAAAATACCCTTTTTTAAGGTGTTCATCAAGTCTAACTGTTTAGTTTACTGGAAGTGAAGTTGATTGTTTGTGTAAATAAATACAATAAATCTAATGACATAAGTCCTCTTGTTACAATAGAACCATCACCAAAGAAGGTTAGTCTTACTCTAAGACTTAATTATAGCTTAGCTTGTAGTCAAATATTTACTTTGGCATTTAGACAATATAGTTGGCCCGAAAGACAAACTGTGAGTGCAACACTAGACAATAAGCTGAAGAACCTTAGTTTGTAAGATTATTTTATAAAGTACAAGAGTCACCATAAATGCCAGATCACACAGATCACTGTTACGACCAGAGAGAAAAGATCACATCTACAGCTGCTATTTGTCTTTCTTTCAGAATGCATCTTTACATGCATCTCCAGCCAGTCTTTTCTTCAGAAGAGACAGTGTGCTTTCCAAGTCAGTCCCCAGAACAACAAATACGCAACTGCTGGCAATGTGAGTGGGTCAGTGCAGCTCTGTGAGAACACCCAATGCTGCGTGGGCTACTTTCTGATCATCAATGGCCAGCCGCAGGTTGACCTTCTTGGTAAGAAACCATAAACTAAGACATCTGGACTAGGAACTCGTTTCCATGGTCTGGATTCTGTTTTTGTAGTCAGTTATTTAAAATCTACTCAAATTCACCAACATCTGGCTCGTATTGACTGAAATGTATATTATGCAACTTGTAATAAATCTAGGTGAGTCTGCGGGCTTAGTATGGTTCTCGTGTTGTTAGTAGTCTATTGTGTTGCTGATTTTTCTGTTGCAGCTTGTGATATAGCTGAAAAGTCCTGCCCAGATGCAACTTGCAAGGCCCAAACACGTTTCAACCATCGCCTCATCAAGTGTGTGTGCAACACAGACCTCTGCAACAGCAACATCACTTGGACCCCAGAGTCGGAAAAGCTTCGACTTGCCTACTCTTATTCTGGAGGTAAATAATAACATCACTAACTAATCATTAAATATCACTTTAACCCACGTAGTTATAACATAATAATCTGACATTATACCAAAGTGAAGAATTTTCTTTTCATTGCAATAAAGGGTATCAATTAAAATTTACTTTAATTTAATTTGAAATTTGACACTTGGAAAATTACAATCATTTTGCCAGATCCCTTTTTTCAGTAATAACAACTGCTCTTTTTTATTTGCTATGTTAATTAAATGAAACGTTTCAGTTAACAACTACACTTGCTTTTGTTTTCTTTTTAGATGAAATTGTGAAAACTGTAATAATTCTGGTGGGAACTTTGCTAGTCATGTGCTTCATGATCGTTGCTGCCAAATGGAGACACCACTTTAAAGAGAAAAGTAAGGTTTTTTTTGATAGTGATGCAAAAAAATGTTTAATAGAATATGAATTCAATTTAAAATTTTGTTTGCCTTTGTTTAATATGACTGTCTACTTTAGTGGACAACATTAGGAAGTAAATTGAATTTAACTCTCTTTCAAGACCTGTTCTTGTCACAGTGATCAATGACATGATAATTGTTTTTATATTTTTGTTGTTATTGCTAATAATGTGTTGATTTGCTTTACTAAATACAGTAGCATAAAGTGGAAGTTAAACTAGAATTAAAATAATGCACAGTTAACTGTTGATGTTTGCGGGTGTTGACTAAGCTTACACGCGAGAGGAGTTATTATCTTGATCCCTCAGTTTTAGATCAACTTGCACATTACTGCTCATTGTGGGAAGACGGAATAAAAGTTACAGCTCTTGAATTAGCTTAGAAAGTGGCTTAGAATTGGATTCTGATAAGACAGGCTATAAAATTGTTGGCCTTAAAAAGGTAAAAAGATGAAGTTGTTCTGTATCAAATACCCTCTCTTGGAACTAGAAAAAAACCTTCATCCATGTTTCCCCGTTTTCTAAAGTCAGATTCAGCTCTCATGATGTCTTTGTTTGACCTCGGGACTGTTTCATTCTCTCAACCGACTGACCTTGGTCTTTATCTCTGTAACACTCCCTTTTACCTCTGTTCTTTGTTTGTTACTCTTCAGTCAGATTTCTGTGGCGATTCAGCTAGGCTTGTTCAAAATTAATAGTGACTGTGTGATGGAGTGTCAGAATACCTTCAAAGAGTGTGTGTTGATTACAAGACTTTTATTATTTTAGAGGAGAATCCGTCCTCCCTTGATGATCACAGCGTCTCTCAACTGTGTTCCTGCCAAACAACAAAAACCTCTGACATTGACGTTGCCAACATTGAACTACAGCAGGTAACCCCGCTATTAAGTGGATTTATACTGTAATGGCAATCACTGTGCAAATATGGATAGAAAATACAATTAGTTCATATATCTTGTGCCATGTGCTTTACCTGAATGCTCATACCTTTTTACAGATTATGGGCCATGGGTGTTTTGCAACTGTTTGGCAGGGGAAATACCAGGGATCCATGGTGGCCGCGAAAGTTTTCCCTGCAGGCTGGAAACATAAATTTATCGCGGAGAAGGAGGTTTATGAACTACCACTAATGAAGCATGTCGGGATTGTCGATTTCCTGGGCACTGGGAGGAAACCGGATGGAGGCAGTTGGCTTATTGTCCTGGAATTCGCTGAAAAAGTGAGTGGTAACCATTCAGAAATGATTGAGTTAGTGAGTATCAGTTTTTGCAGAAGAGTCATGGTAGGGAAGCAAAGAAAGGGCATTAGGAAGTTTAACCACTACTGAAACTATTCGGACTGAAGCTCAGACACCAAAATTCAGTTAAGTTAAGTTAAATGCTTTTAAAAATCAGATTCATATGGCCTTTCT